GCCCGGGGAGCAGAGAGCCCGCGGCCGGAGGGGCGGCCGGTGCGGGTGTGGATGCAGAGCACGGAAAAGAAATGGGGGCTTGGCTCCTGCCGGGAAGCGCCAGCGCTTGGTGCCGCCGCCGCCGCCGCCGCCGCGGGGCTCAGAGGTCGCTCTCGCCGTAGAGCGCCGTGGAGAAGGACTTGTAGTCCAGGGCTCCGGGGACGGCGTCGGGGCCCTGGTAAGGGGCCATGCGGGCGATGCAGTACTCGGCCTGGTCGGGGGGCAGCTCCCGCCGCAGCTCCTCGGCCGTGATGTAGTTCTGGGGCAGGGGAGGGAAGAGATGAGCATCCACGCGGACCGGCGCCCTTCCCAAAACCGCGCCCCGGTGGCACGGGCGCGCCCGAAGCCCCCGCCGCGGTGCCTCACCTTGTCCCCGGCCAGGACTTTGAAGGAGGCGATGACTTGGTCAGCCGTGTCCGTGTCGGTGGTCTCCCGGGACATGAAGTCGATAAAGGCTTGGAAGGTGACGATCCCGCTGTTGTTGGGATCGACCACGCTCATTATCCGGTTGAATTCGGCGTCGCCCTGGAGGAAGGGGGACCGCGGTGAGAGGAGGGCACGCCGGAGCTTCGCCAGGCTCCTGGCGTTCCCCCGCCGGTGCCCAATTCCCCAGGGCCGGCTCGAGCCCGCGGGAAGGGAATCCCCCGAGTCCTCAGGGATGGCTGCGGCACAAACCAGGCGCCCGCTGGCGTGCCCGGCCTTCGGCACCATCCCGTCCGGCCCCCGGCCCTCTCCCACCCCCGTTCTGGCGAGCGCCTGGCCCCGGAGGTTCGCAGTGACGAAAAGAAGATGGGAAAGGGAAAAAAGTGGGAAAAAATAAAGGGAGAAATAGCAGATAGCATACCAGGCTGTATCCCGTGGAGATAAGGAGAGCTCGGAAGTCATCGGTGTCCATGCTTCCCGTGCGCTTCTACTCCGAGAGGGTGAAGAGGAGGAAGAGGAGAGAGCAGCGGCCACAGAGGGCAGATGGAGAGCGCATGCAGAGACGGAGAGGAAGAGGAAGGAAAACCCAGGAGGGCAGGGAGGAAGGGAGGAGAGAGAGGCAGAGACTCAGTTAAAGGAGGCGTTTCGGCAGTCGACAGAGGGAGAGGGGAGGGAGGTCACAGGGGAGACCCAGCACGGACACAGGCGTCGGGGCGGAGGAGCGTGGGAGGAAGGGGAGGAAGAGCACGGGACGGAGAGGAAGAGAGAAAGGAGAGAGGTTAATCGCATCTCTGGCCGCGGGGCAGCGAGGCTGGGTACCTGTCGGTCATTCTCCACATCGTATCCCAAGCTGATGAGGCAGGCTTTGAACTCCTCCGGTCCCAGGGCACCGCCGTGGTCCTGCGCCGCGGCACGGGGGGAGCC